AACTTGAACATGATTATGTTGAAGTGTTATTTTACTGATTCAGGTGATGTTCTGTTGGTATTTTTGTTTTCAGGAGTTCTTTTCTGTTTTCTTTCCTCCATGCTGACAGTGGACTGGTTTGGAATTCATGTCATTTTTTAGTGAACAGGGGCAGATATTATAAGTTTATACTTCTTTCTGCTCCTTTTCATTCAGGATTTTATTATTTTGTTTGTTTTCTTTGATTTTTGACTTTTGTATGACTTGTTTTTATAGATTATTTTTATTTATATGTTTTATGAATGAATGAAATAAACACAATAAATAAAAAATAAAGAAGGAAATAAAGATCCCAGCATTTTTGATGCAGGGAAAAACCCAAATACGGGGCGGAGGATGACGGGTCGAGCCCTCCTCTACACTGATTTATGACGGCAGAGTTGGAGACAGAGACCTCTGGACTGTCTGGAGAAGAGACCACCACCGGCTGTCCTCTGTCTGATGTCTCTCTGATGTTCAGGTGAAGTGGGATGTCACCTGAAGAATAAGGAGATCATGAAGACCGAGGAACTAAGAGGTTCAGATCAGGACTGGGTTTTAAAAGGACCCAGAAGGTCCACACAGATCCATTAGACCCACAAACAGGAAACAGAAAAACTCCTACCTAACAGCTCCACCCCCAGAGTGTCTGCCAGCTGCCGCGCTCCATCAGAACCGAAGATGTGGGTCTGATGGAGACACTTTGGACACTGGAAGACGCTCATGTTCTGCACCAGACCCAGAACCTGCAGGAACATTCAGTCTTTAGACCCACGGCTCTTCTGGTCCAGCTGGATTTAAGAGACAGAAATTACCGGAACGTTGACTTTCTTGAACATCTCGGCTCCTCTGCGAGCGTCCAGCAGAGCGATGTCCTGCGGCGTGGACACGATGACCGCACCTTCCACACAGGGCGGGGGGACAGGAAGTCACCTCACTGACCAGTGAAGACATTTAGACCAGCTGACAGAGACTGACCTGCTATCGGGATGTTCTGGGTGATTGACAGCTGGACGTCTCCTGTCCCAGGAGGCATGTCCACCACCAGGTAGTCCAACGAGCCCCAGTCCACCTAAACACCCCAAACATATATCAGGTCTGTCTCATGAGACGGTTACTGAGACTAAAACACACCTGTCACCTGTCTGAGCAGGCGCTCCACAGCAGACATGACCATCAGTCCCCTCCACACGATCGGAGACGTGTCCTCCACCAGGAAGCCCATGGACATGCTGACAGGAAGCAGGTATCAGATATGTCTCTGAGGAGAGCTGGTCAAACAGAGGTGGTCCACTCACCAGGGGACGCCGTAGTTCCTCAGAGGGATCATCAGGTTTTCTGAAAACCACAAAGAGTTACCTCCTGTGTGTCTTCAACAAACATCTGAGACCAGCCTGAGGACAACCTACTGTCGCTGAGCTCCGGATGTCCCTGCAGGTTCATCAGTTTGTGGACGGACGGGCCGTAGACATCAGCGTCCAACAGACCGACTGACCTGGACTGAGACAGAACCATCAGAACATCTGGACCCTCCTTCCAGGACTCTTTTCAACAGGTTCAGAGTGAAAACAGTTTCTGCAGATATTCAGCTCTGTCTGTTTTACTGTTTAGTGTTGACAGTTTACAGTTAGTGTTGACAGTTTACAGTTTAGTGTTGACAGTTTACAGTTAGTGTTGACAGTTTACAGTTAGTGTTGACAGTTTACAGTTAGTGTTGACAGTTTACAGTTTAGTGTTGACAGTTTACAGTTAGTGTTGACAGTTTACAGTTAGTGTTGACAGTTTACAGT